AGTGCGAATAAGATGGATGAGACTCACCTTTAATTGGCAAGAAACACTACATTCAGAAGAAGCATTTTCTAACAAATTTGGATCCTCCAACATGGCCCCCTACTAGGAAGAAATTTTATCTACATCAGTAGGGAAAGAAACAGCAATTTACAGATATCAAAGTGAACAGGTCAAAGGAGTACTATCAGTTATTATGCATTTCCCCTTTGATCAGTTCCTTTTTAATTTTTTCCATTTTTTGGGGGAACAAGTAGTCACTAGTCAGAAAAAGACACTCACATAATTTAGTTGAAATATTTCCTCAATGATATAACGGGTCACCACCTCTTCGTGCACTTGAAATGCTAAAACAGAATGTTGTGCCAGACAGCCCAAAGACTGCAAAACTGTTGGAAGCTGCTTCCCCAGATGCAGAGAATCCACAAGTTTCTAGAAGGATAATAAATGCAGAAGAGATAGAACCTTAGGATCAATCCATAGAGGAGTTTAAAATAACAGAGTAACAACACAAACAAAAAAGTATGACAGGTAAAAGGCGAGCACAAAGGCATGGGGTGTAAGCACCACAATTTTCCAGTTTACAGTGTTTCCATCAGTACTAGGTAAAGTTTAAATAAATAATATGCTAGTGAAAATGGTAAAGTAGAAAATTTAATTAAAATTGACTCGAGAAAAGAAAACAATGAGAAAATGATGGATCAACCAATATGAAAGCATATTGTAGCATAACAGAGCCCATTTTGCTAAAAGAACAAATAGTTCAAGTCAGTTATAGCAAAAAACATCTCTGATAAAACATGTACTATCAATTTCTTTTATGACGACATGTAGTATCAATCTATAAACCATTGGGGTCAACATTAAACCAAAAACACTATGCATTAGATGCAAAATGAAACAAAAACAACGATCGCTCGAAAAGTTCAACTATAATTATCTCATGCCACTACCACCAAAATTAGCACATCCTCTTCCGTCAGAACTTCACATCTTCCATTCTAATTTTCCAGTTTCTTAGCTAGCGTTTGGACATAGATTTGGTTGAAATTTGAAAAAAGAGTTTTTGAAGTTACGTTGAAAAATAATTTTTGGAAGTTGAAGTTGTGTTTGGACATGCATTTTATTTGAAAAAAAAAGTTGAGATTTTGTGAGTGGAAGAAAAAATTTCACCAAAAAACTCACCGTTTTTTGGAAACTTGAAAAAAAAATTCAAAATTTTCTCAAAAATTGATCATATTTTATGAACAACCAGTGTTTACAAAAAAAAAATTGAAAAAAAGTAGACAAAATTTATGGCCAAATTTTTTAGCTTCTGTAACATTGAGTCAATCACTTGAGAAAACCCAGTATGAGTGACCAACTGAACAAAGCTTTGGGCTTAGAACAAGTGGTAGCGTGTACCCTAGCAAACGAGCCATTTTACATGCAGCCCGTGGCATTTTATGGACGCCCCCAGCTCAAAATGCATCTCAAGGCTCACCTGTATCATACCTCTTAAACCATGACAACAAGGTGTCCAAGAGATTGAGATGATTATGGTGGTGGTGGTGGTAGTAGCAGTGGTGATAATGATAATGATACCGATGACAATGATGATTACGCTATATGGGCAAGACAGGCCTCATCCATCTTGTGATTCTTGGAGATGGGGTTTGTGTGGCGATGGTCTGTTCACCGTAAAGTCCTTTTACCAGAGTATGTTGGTGAGATAGGAGGCCTCTTTTCCATACTCCTCGGTCTGGATTCCTAAGGCGCCCACGAAGGTGTGCTTTTTTGCATGGCTAGCGGCGAGGGGAGTGATTTTGACTGCTGAGAATCTTCGAAAGAGGGGAATTACACTTGTTAGTTGGTGCTATATGTGTAAACGCTCAGGGGAAGAAGTTGATCATCTTTTGTTGCATTGCCTCGGCTCTGTGGAGGGCGATCGTGAACCTTTTTGGTGTTCAATGGGTGATGCCAAGCACTGTAAAGGAAATGCTATATAGCTGGGCCGGTTTCCGTAGAAGAAGAAAGCAAAAGGCGTGGAAGTACGCCCCGTTAGCTCTCATGTGGATAGTTTGGGGGGAGAGAAATAGGAGAGCTTTTGAGGGGATTGAGTTTCCTTTTTCACATCTTAAGAATAGTCTTTTATCTTTGATCGTTTTTTGGTGCACTCATATAGCCCCTATTTGTACAGAAGATTGGGCGTCTTTTGTAGAGAATCATGTTCTGATGTAAATTCTCTACTTTTTGGTATACTTCTTGTATACGGGAGATTCTCTCATTTTTGATTAATACAATTTACCTTATCAAAAAAAATGATGATTACGCTTATATTATCAATATCATTTTGAATTCTGATCATCTGATGATTATTTTGACAATGTAATTATCATTTTTATTAGTTTAATTATTAGCAGTAGTTGTTGGCTTGTTGTGGTAGTGATAGAAATAGTAGTAACAACAGTTGCAACAGTAGTAGTAGGAGCAGTAACCGCTCAGGTGAACTGTTTGACAGGAAGCAAAGGCAAAACAATTAAGTGAAGTACTATAGATTTTTTCAATTTGATTTGCTTGCTAATGGAAGTGCTAGTAGAAGCTTATAGTCAGATCCCATTGGATTGCAATAGTTAAAACGAAAAAAAGATCATGCAAACTCCGAGAAAATTCTAGAAGGAACAGACATTTTACATCACCATAGCAAAAAGATGAGATTTCACCACCTTGCATAATTCTTTTGATAAGGACTGCTCTGAAGGGCTCATCAATGCAGCAATTGCAGAAACAGCCAATTTAGATTGAACACGACTGCCCTCCAAGCAAACCTTCTCTAAAAACGGATATATATCACTGCAAATACAACCGCTCTAACTCAGAACCAAAAAGAGAGTAGTAACGCAGCATAACATATGCAACAAGGAAAAACACATTCCACTTTTCTGGGGAAAAAAGGGAGGCTAACTAAACATTCTACACGGGAAAAAAAGGTGGGGAAATGGAATGTAAAAGCATGCAATTTCTTGATTGAGTTCTAGAAGAAGCCAACCACCAAAGAACTTGTGTAAAAACAAGTACAGAATGTGTAATCTAGTCTTTCAACCAAGTAAGAAGAAAACCCACATCATCCTCCTATGTGAAGGTAGAGACTGTTTGCTATGATACATATTAGGAAGAAGCTGCAATCCTGTCTTATCAAATCATAGCACCAACAAGAACTCAAACAAAATGTAATACAGAAAAGAAGAAAAAAGAAGCTAAACTGATGGTCTGAGGAATTCACCCAGGTTGAAGCTAATAGCAGAAAAGACTTCATTGCTTCAGGATTAGAAGTGATGCTAACATGGTGAAGCATCTGGGCCACTCCTTGGAATAGTAAAGACAACAGAACCAAAGGGCAGACTTTAAAAAAGAATCAGATGATTAACTTAAGAAATTTAACACTTGCATATGACACTAAAATAGAAAGCAGTGAATGTAAAATTTAATTTAAGTTCATGTTCTTGCTAAATCACCAAATGAAATATTTAATGCCGAGAGATGCTAATTTCCAGAACAAATGCCAAGGGAGGTAATGCTCAATCTCATAACAGACAAATTACACAGATCATCAAGATTAGTAGGTCTCGGAATGGAAATGTTAAATATAGGACATTATACAGTAAATTCTACAGTGCATGAACCAAAGAGTAAGTTACTCCCAACCTAACCGTGTAAACTTTTGTCAGACCATATGCCATATTCATGTGAAAAAATAATTAATGGAAGCTTAATCTGTCTCTTTTGACTCATTTTTCCACATACTGCAGTCGCTCTATAGAAAAAAATGCACAAACCACAACCTAGAACGTGAAAAAATTACCCAAGGTTGATTAACATATGGGATCCTTCTTTTGCAAGAATCTGGATCAGCCGTTCATTAAATGGGATAATCTCCTTTGACAACAAGAGCTGGAATTCTGTCTCCAAACCTCTCAAGAGTGAAGGAAATGCACTGAGAATAGTCTGGCAAAAAAAGGGGATGAATATGAAAGCCAAAGATATAGCATACAATAAATACGGCTGCAAATACTATATGAATAAAAATCTAACAGACAAAATGAAAGAGATTAACAGGGTCAAGGTGGCATGTAAAGCTTAGGTTACCTAAAGCCCTTTATCAAACTGGAGAACTTCATGCCAAAGAAGTGATTGCACCAGCAGATGGCTTTGTGAAATATCAATGAAAAATAACTAACAAAAGGTAGCCTTTTTAAGCATGACGACTTTCACATTTGTCGTGCTCAAATAGCAAAAAATCTGAAGCTTTATATGATCCCCTTTTCATTTAACATAGAGACTAGTACAGTAATAGAGAGCTAGGTTTAACTTTCTAAAAGTCACCATCAGCGGAACTCAAAAAAGAACTTTCTCAGACTTATAGTCTAGTTCAATTAAGTGATGCCAGTATTTCTATTGACTGTCAGAAAAGGAAGAGAGGAAGAAAAGACTAGAGTGCAATTTTTGGACTATTATAAGCATAATCTGCAAAACAGTCATCTGTTACTACCCAAAGTTCCTAAGGAATATTGGGTGTGAGGAGCACAAAAGATGACAATAGAAAAAAGCTGCTAATATCCACCAATTTCAGGATTCTTTCTTTTAAAGTAATTTCTCTTACCAAGAGGAGTTGAACAGAAGAGTCCTCCAAATGCTTATTTCTGAATCTGTCATCTGCAAGATGACGTAAAATACAGCACACATGCTCTGAACCAAACAGATTGAATGAGCATTTCATAGAGAGTAATTGAAGAAACTCAGCATGCGGATTCTTGTCCCCAATCTCTCTCAAAAGATTATCCTGGATAATGCAAAGGGCCGACAAGTTGTGCATTAAATTTGTCAAGGAATTGATAATGGCGCAATAACTAAAATCTAAAGAAGAAAACAAGATAAAAGGAGGGAAAATTAGATTAATCCACAAAAAATTGCACTACCATGTTATCATGAACTTGTATGTGCCCCAAAATCGCTGCCTTACGCCAAATCAGGTGTGCATATAGTCCAGACGGAACCAAAGAGTTACAGAAGGCAGATATATTATGGGGAATGACCACACAAAACACTCTGCTTCTTACTTAAATCATGAAAAGTAAACTCCTCTCTAACACAATTGAAAGTCCTCTTTGACTCATTAAAAGTGAGTCGAACTAATTCAAATGCATTAAAGAATTTACTCAACATCGGAAATGCATATAACATAAATATCTAATTTTAGATAACTAGATCCTCTCATCCATAAGCTTGTCAAATACACTCAGTTTCAGTGCCTCCACACCAGCACCCACCACCAGGGCTAATGTAATTGTAAACTGTTATCTTTAATTAGTTTCCAAGGCAAGAAAATTTTCTCAAAATAGGTAAATGTAGAATGGGAAGAAAAAGATGTCTTCAAATTAAATATGCAACATTTACTCATAAAAAGTAAATCACTTTGAAGTTCTAGCAAGGCTGTTGCCACTGTACAAGCTTATAGCCTGAAACCCCAAAGAAACCAAAAGGTTGATCTTTTTCACACATAAGCTTAGGCATACACCTATCCTGAAATGTTTTCAAGCTTCTCTCCAGAAAATCTTCTTCCTTATACTGACCAAAACCAGAGCTCCAATCACACTCCTTATTTTGTTAAGCATTCTCGCTCTACTCCAAGCCCACATTTCAGTCTGTTAAGCCTTGGAATCATTTTTCCCATTGATATTTGATACATTACGGCCATTAACATTAGTCTACTCTCTTTACTCCAGGCAGACTCCTTGGCCTGTTTAGCTTTTTTTCCTCTCGTTAAATCACAATTTTCAGTTTGTTGAGCCACTTAGGGCTCCTTGAAAATCAAGCTCATCCAAGAAAAACCACTCAAGAGGCCTAACCGCTTGCCCTGCTTCCTGGTTATTCTCAGTTCTAGACACCACAGAATTTTAATGCAATTTATTGGGGGATTGAATCCAAGAAAATATAAAAGCCACTGGAAGGTTAAAAAAATTATCCTGAGATTACTTGAGCAAGAATTCATTAGAAACTCTAAAGGCATCTTGCTCCATGGTAGAAATTTTGATAAAAAGAAATCCACTCTATATCCAGGTTGAAAGTGAAAAACAGTAAGAAAGTAAAACTTAAAGTGAAACAAGCTCACCCTGGTGGTTTGAGCATCTTCAGTTTTCTGTTCATTTAACAACTTTCCCAACAGATTAAATATTCGACTGTTTTTCACCATATCCAGTTTACGAAAGCAGTCTTGTGCTTTGGTAGTATCCTCAAAAGATGCTGACATTTTCACAATGGACATTTTCATTTTCTTTTCTACTTCTTCAGAGACTTCCTCCTGGAGGATAAAGATAGAAAACCAATGCAAAATTACTACACAAAATGAAGTGAGAAAATCATGTGGGAGGACCACCATTCCCTGCAATTTGGAATTTCTTCATAAAAAACACAGCAGTCTGTCTTGCCAACATCAGCTACCAAGAAATTAGAAACAAGAAGGGTAGTTAATGCCATCAGACAGGCATTCTGGGCTAAACCAGAAAGGCTTCAGCCAAAAAGGAAAAAGGTATCCCAAAGTTCAAGAGGTACTCATATCTGGAATTTGGAATTTCGAACAATCCAGTAATTATAACATTAAAGCATCTATTGCCTCAGCTTTAATGAATTCAATTTTCTCCTATACAGTGGAGAACAAAGAGACTTATCAGAAACGATTAACAATTGGCAATTATTTGAGATACCTTGTCTTTGTTGCAGAGAGTTAAGTACACTTGCAATTCATTTCGCAACCTGGAAGCACATCACCCCATGAATTCAAGCAAAAGAAGCAAAGCAGATCTTAGAAGTTAAAGAAATCCAGATTTCACCAAAGTACCTCAGCTTTTGGGACAAAATTGCATTCAAAGCCTTCAGATGACAAGGCGTAAAAAGTGAGAACATGAAGACCCAACGCCTGGTTCTATCCTCAACTGAAAGAGAACCAGGAAACAGAGAGTCAGCTAGCACAATCTCCATTCGCTGAGGCCTGTGCATCAGATGAATCATAATTAGATCTCCATCAACTAGAACATGCATCTATTTAGAACGGTCACATCATGAAATAGGCATACTTGAACTCCTTACAGTCTCTGTCATAGCATAGCATCAAAATTTTACATGGAATCTGTTCAAAATGAGCATTGAAATCCATGATTGCAGCAGCACATTGTGTGCAATATTCCTGATACAGTTCTAACAACTTTTTCAATGCTTTCTTTCTGACAGACACCTATATATTTAGATGGAAAAAAGAGGCAAAAAAAAGCAAATATTAGAAAGCACAATCAGAGTTCTTTTTAAGAAATGCACAAAAAACAATTCTATCTTATGGAAGCTGTTCAATCACCATAACCTTTTTATCTCTCAGTCGTTCTGCAACAAGTGTGATTAGTTCATGGGTATTAGATTTTAGCTTATGTCTTGCCAAGTCACACATCACAGTAACTGCCTCTGATCTCACTCTGTCATCAGAATCCAAAAGTCGATCTTGAAGAGCGGCTTCTCGGTTCACAAGAGTTAAAACATGAGATGTAATGCTGAATTAGAAGACCAACATTAAGGCATTCTAAAAGACAAAAAAGAAATGAAAACAAATGGCTTTCAAGTTTTGACATCTTACCAAGAACTTTAAGTGATTCTTTTGCAGATGGATTGGTCATGTAGAACGCTTTAGCACATGAAAGTGTAATGAGTCTCACTTCAGCAGACTTATCACAGGATCTATTTAAGAATTCAACGAAAAGCTGGTGATAATCCTGCGCAAAATGGTTTCCAGGCAAGGAAAAGATCCTTTTCATCAAGCCAAGAGCTTTTATCCGAACATCCACTTGATCTGTCTGCAAAGAGAGTTACATTTCTAGTTTGAGCAATAAAGTGGGCAAAATAACCAACTTCAATGGAAGAATTTTAACAACAGTAATATGAGAAAATGAGGAAGACATTACTTTCAAAATTTATTTTAGCATTCATCGGACCGGAAAACTAAAGCACACCGTCATACCATAATAGACTAAAAGGCAGAAGAATCACACACCAATAATTCGTTCATCAAGCTAGGTATGACAGAAAGAAGCATTTGAGGAGCACACTGGAAGATTTCATATATAATATCATGGTAGTATTCCTTGATCTCACTCTGCACAGCATCTCTGTTGAGTATGCAAGACCTTAAAAACCCTGAAACGATATCTTCGATCTTCTCACTGCATTTTTCAATGACAGAGACAGCAAGCTGGTGGGACGCACGAGATGCACCCTGGAACAGAAGTTAAGAAATGATTCCATTTAAGACAAGTACACAACAATTTCATAACAGGAAAAAATGAATTGCAAAACTAAGAGAGAAATGTCAATCAATTTCACCTAAGCCAAACAAGCACCACTTAGTAAGTGTATAAAGTTCCTATATTGCACATCACTATAAACTTGCAACATCTATACTACTAATATATAAGAGAGGATGCCTCTGATGGTCAATATGCCTGCTTCATCATGAGGGTATTTTTGTCATTTCACCATCAATGACAAAAAACACTTAGCATGACATGGAAGAAGGTAATCTTTCAAAGCCATAACTGGAAGTAAGCTTAAAAGAACAAGTCTATGAGCAGTGTTATGGCAACATGGCAACTACAATATCTCTCTATGGGTGGCAGGCTAACCTTGATTAGCAGTGTTATGGATAGCATTCCAACCTATTACATGCCACTTTACCCTATGCCTAATAAGGTGCTCGAGCAGCTGGACAAGCTCAGGAGGACCTTTCTTTGGAAAGGGAATAGTGAGGGGCTAAGTTCCACTTTGTCAAGTGGTCCAAAGTAATCCAACTCAAAGAACTTGGTGGACTTGGTATCAAAGATTTGGCAAAACACAACAAGAGCATGCTAATGAAATGGCTAGGAAAATTTGGGGAGGAGGATACCAGCCTGTGGAAGAAGGTGGCGATAGCCAAACATGGGCAACAAAGCCATTGGTGTACTAAACTAAGCAGAGCCCCTCATGGAGTGGGGTTTTGGAAACACATCAGTAACCTTTGGGATGATTTTTCACAGTATGTCTCTTTCAAGGTTGGGAATGGTACTCATGTTAGATTCTGGAAGGATATTTGGTTTGGAAATTGCCCACTGAAGGAGAGCTTCCCTCTACTATTTCAAATAGCCAATGATCCCAATTCTACAGTTAGGGGATATAGATCAGAAAACGCATGGGCCCCTCTCTTTAGAAGAAACATGCATGACTGGGAGTTGGACAATTTTTTTGTGTTGTTGGAAAGACTGGAAAACCTCACCGTGAATGATCAGATTCCAGACAAGCTCATATGGGGAAGAGGTAGTGCAGATTCCTATACAGTCAAGGCAGGCTATAGGCATATGTGTGAACAGAATGGAATCATAGACTCTTGGCTGTGGAAGCTCATTTGGAGGACAAAGCTTCCAACAAAGGTTATTTGTTTCACTTGGACAGCCCTTAGAGAAGCCTGTTTAACTCAAGATAATCTTTGTAAAAGGAGTTTTCAGTTGGTGAATAGATGCTACCTATGCCAGCAAAACTCTGAGTCAGTCAACCACCTTATTTTGCATTGTCGAATGGCAGCAAATATGTGGAATATGTTTCTAGCAATCTCGAGGCTTAGCCGGACACAACCTCAGGGCATTAAGGAGGCAGTAGAAGGATGGAGCAGATGGAAAGTTGACAGAGCCATCAAGAAAGTCTGGAAGAAGATGATCCCAGTATGCATTTTTTGGTGTCTTTGGCAAGAAAGGAATCGCAGATGTTTTGATGGCATTTCAACTCCAATACATGCTCTTAAAGCTAAATGTCTTGTGTATCTGTTTAGTTGGAGTATTCTAGGCCCTGTAAATAATGTTATTCCCCTTCTAGACTTCATTGGCTCACTTACTCTAAGTTAGCCCCTTTCTACTTTTGATTCTTTTTGTTAGCTCCCGGGCAGGTTTTTGTTATATTGTAATGGAGCTAACATTGATACTTCTTGTAACTTTTGCATCTTCTTGATGCTTGAAATGAAGCAACTTATCTCATCAAAAAAATTAACAAGTCTATGAGCAACTGCAGATAACATGTACTACTACTCCTGCATTTTGACGAGTCAATCAGAAGGTTCGATTTAAACAGATGATTCTGCACCCAAAATTAAAGGATGATAAATTCAATATTACTATCAGTTTGGGGCATTACTAATGTTCATACGTTGATGAATCCTCCAACCCCTATTTTCATCTTTTGCACTACATCTACTTAACAAAACACACTAGCCCTGCTCCACAGCCAAAACATGTATTACAACTTTCTACATTCAAAAAAATAGGTATTCTTGGACAAAAGGAAGATGCCTTTGTCACTTCTCCCCAAACACCCAGAGGAAAAAGTTAGAGCAAATGATAAGTCTCCATTAGCCCCAAGGAAATATGTGCTAATCTAAAGCATACCAGGATCCATACCATCACTAATGCAACCAAAAAGTAAAAAAGAGAGATTAAAAGCCATAACTTCTAAGACAGTAGCAGAAACTTTATGCAAAAAATTTATCTACAAACAAAAACTTCCGTTGGCTGTGAACCTAAGGGAGGGGAACTGCAACTATGGACTCATAACTTGGCGGATAGTAATTTCCAGACATCCAAATCAGTACAAGGGTGTTGTCTTCAATCATCATGGATATAGAACCAGTGTACGTGCAGGTGATGGACACTCAAACAACAATGATAACAATTTTCTCAATTCCAAGCTAGTAGTAGCCAGCCATACATATCCTTGCTATCCATATAGCTCCATTAAACCCATCTCAATCCAATGTTTTAAAATTTAGGTTCTCTATCACTACAAGTTATCTATTTTTTCTATTGGAATATAATCTCTAACAAAACTTACTCTTAATGAACATTGGACATAAAGTAAACGTATCAATGTCACTAAAACTTAACCCAACTAAATGGTATCACCTGTAAGGATCTTTTTCTTCCATCCTGCCCTTTCACAACCCTACTCCAGTATTTGGGCTTAGGACAGGTAATATGAGCAAGCTCACAGACACTCGGTTTTCTTACAGCCACAGCACCCCGGTCTACAAACAATTGTTTTTCATTTTTCTTAAAACCGTCTTTGCGAATTGAATGTAAGTTTGACTTCAGAGAAGTCGAATTAAAATAGTTTTGAACTAGAGTCATATATTAACAACTATGTATTCGATATTACATACACACACATATAATATATACTCCCTCCGTTTCAATTTATCTGAACCTATTTGACTAGGCACGGAATTGTTTAAAAAAAAGAGAAGACTTTTGAATTTGTGGTGCAAAATGAGGCACATATATATTGTGTGGCTATAAATCACTGCATAAAGGTAAATTGTTTCCAAATATAGAAAGGGATCTTTTTTTGGCACGGACTAAAAAGAAAATAGGTTCACATAAATTGAAACGAAGGACTATATATATATATATATATAAACTGAGAAATCCCGAGCGAGGGCCAATGGCACATGATTCGGAACTCATTGGATAATGGGCCCACTCCACTACCTAACAAGTGACGTGCAACTAACCCATACATTAGATCAAGCCCTAGGGGCTACACACACACACATATAAATATATTGTGTGTGTGTGTGTGTTGGTGAATGAATAGCTTCATCACAAGTGCCACTTCAGGGCAAGAGATTACTTTCTTGGTTTATTTAGATAAGAAGAGTGTAAAAATTGATCCATGAACTTATGTAGAAGTATAAGACGTTCTGCATCAGAAACTGTACACTGCTGTAGGACAAAACATCAAAAAACATTCATTTTAATTTGGAAAAGGTCTATATGAATTAAATAAAATTCATTTGCTCTTAATAGGTGACATAAATTGATTTAGAAATGGAAAATATATAATTGGATAAGAAATTAGCTAGAGAAAAGAAACAGACAACAACTACCCAGTATAATCCCACCAAGTGGGGTCTGGGGAGGGTAGGATGTACGCAGCCTTACCCCTATCCAGGATAGGGAGACTGTTTCCGAATGACCCTCGGCTAAAGAAGGTGAAGGAAGCCCTGATAGCAAGTGATAGCAAGAGATAGCAAGACAATTAGTTAGAAAACTAAATCGGAAATAACAACAAAGAAGAGAAAAGAAACAGAATGGGAAAAAAATTATAATGGAGGCAGAGTAAATCTGAAGACTTAGGAGTACTTAAGTCCTTAATTAAAGTTTTACAAGTTCAGAAAGGAAGATACAGAAAATAGAACATCCTCTTCAAAGCTTCAGCTACCACCTTACCCCTCCTCCAACTGTTCTCCAGTGAGAAGATGACACCAAATAAAACTTGGTTTGTGGCTTCAAGACAACATCATTGAGTAGAGATTACAGCACTAGGTATTACTGCTAATTTATCTTGGAGAAGGACAAAAAGAAGATAAAAAATTTCTGTTTTACAGGGATAAAGGAAAGAAGGTTTTTCATCTCTCAAAACAAAATTGAAAGTATCCCTGAAACTGCTAATGCAGCAACCACTTTTAGCTTTGGATCTTATTAAGTTATAGATCATCATATATACCTTTGCTTCTTTCAATAGGTTCTGCAAAACCACATCCAAAAGGGGCTCAGAAACTTTTTTTTCAAAAGTGAGCAGCTCAGAACTGCTCCTCTCTTTCTCTTGCATTTTCTCCTTCATCTTCTCCTCCAAAATTTGTGACATTATCGATACTACTGCAGAAACCATACTTGGAGGGTGATGTTCCCTACAAGGAAAAAGTTAGCACCATCAGATAGTAAAACTAACCTTCAAGAGATGTGCCCATGTAAACCGCAGGAAATTTAAACTATAAAATTAAGCATGAGAACATGACATGGTAAACAATTATGTAAATTCAATTTAGCATCCCGAAATTTCCTGACTTGGGTGAAATTCCTAGCATCAGATATATTCATCCGCACCCACTTTTATTTTAATCGGTTTTCTTCATGTGCTGTTTCTCAAAGCATTTCAACTACTAGACAAATCAAGGAGTTTAAAAGATGAGCAAAGGGGGAGGGGGCATCAAAGCCCTCAGAATCAATCAGGAAAAAGGGCTAATAATAAGGAAATAAAGAATTTCACCTCAAGACGGTAAAAAAGTTTTTGAACAATTTTTTAACCAAATCTTCACAGCCGATATCTAGCATTATCAAACAAAACCTCAGTTTTGCAACAGTCTCTAACAGCTGTACCCTCAAGCTGAAGTAAGGATTCTTGGTATCGTCAAGCTCTGCGAAGATATTGACGAGAAGTCTAAATATATCCTGCTAAAATTTGAAAGTCAGCAATTGTATTGACAGTATTACGGACTATTACTAAAGGGAGAGGATAAAGAAGAAAGTAGCACGGAGAGGACCATATAACAGAAACAATTGCACAAAATAAGACTTTACCCTAGAAACTGCATCAGTAAATTCGGGGTCTGGTGCCAAGACACGGATAATTTCGCAGAAGCAGATGCCAACCAGAAGTCTGATATCTTTGTCCTTGTGAAGAAGTAAACTATGTTTAACGAGAGAACTGCTCAAGGGTTTAATGACAGACTTCAG